ACCATTGTTGCGCAGAAAGATAGTGCAGCAATACCAGAATGGTGTTACCCAGCGTAAAATAGCAAAGACTTTTAAGTTATCATCATCAACCGTGCATAACATCAAAAGATTCAGAGAATCTGGAACAATCGCTGTGCGTAAGGGTCAAGGCCATAAAACTTTACTGGATGCTCGTGATCTCCTGGCCCTTAAACGTCACTGCACCTCAAACAGGAATGCCACTGTCAAGGAAATAACAGAATGGGCTCAGGAATACTTCCAGAAAGAATGGTCAGTGAACACAATCCACCGTGCCATCCACCGTTGCCAGCTGAAACTCTACAGTGCAATGAGGAAGCCATTTCTAAGCAAGCTCCACAAGCTCAGACATTTGCACTGGGCCAGGGGTCATTTAAAATGGAGTGTGGCAAAATGGAAGACTGTTCTGTGGTCAGATGAGTCACGATTTTTTAAGTTCTTTATGGAACACTGGGAAGCCATGTCATCCAGACCAGAGAGGACAAGGATAGCCCAAGTTGTTATCAACGCTCCGTTCAGAAGCCTGCATCACTGATGGTATGGGGTTGCATGAGTGCTTGTGGCATGGGCAACTTGCATGTCTGGAAAGGCACCATTAATGCAGAGAACTATGTTCAGGTTCTAGAACAACATATGCTCCCATCTAGACGTCATCTCTTTCAGGGAAGACCCTGCATTTTTCAACACGATAATGCCAGATCACATTCTGCAACAATCACAACATCATGGCTACGTAGGAGAAGGATCCAGGTACTGAAATGGCCAGCCTGCAGTCCAGATCTTTCACCTATAGAGAACATTTGGCGCATCATAAAGAGGAAGGTGTGACAAAGAAGGCCCAAGACGATTGAACAGTTCGAGGACTGTATTAGACATGAATGGGAGAGCATTCCTATTTCTAAACTTGAGAAACTGGTCGTCTCTGTCCCCAGATGTCTGTTGAGTGTTGTAAGAAGAAGGGGGATGACACACAGTGGTAAAAATGGACTCGTCCCAACTTTTTGTGGATTTGTTGACACCATGAAATTTGGAAACAACAGATTTTTCTCTTAAAATGATAAATTCTCTCAGTTTAAACTTTTGATCTGTGATTTATGTTCTATTCTGAATAAAATATTAGATGTTGGCACCTCCACATCATTGCATTCAGTTTTTATTCACAATTTGTTTAGTGTCCCAACTTTTTTAGAATCCGGTTTGTATGTAGCACACACTTATCCTGGTCTGTTGTTTGAGTCTTGGCTTCTATAACTTCTTCCTATTTGTAGTGCTCTTTCAAACTCTACTTTAAAATTTAAATCAAACACACACACACACACACATTGTTGCTGGTGATGTTTCCGTGCTGACCATTGGTCCAGTGTTAGTGTTTCACAGGTTGTGTGAGACACACTCATCTTTCTAATCTTCTAACCCTCAGGGTCCTTGGAAATATTCAGGTGTGGAGGATCAAACATGAGTCTTGATTCACCTCAGAAAACTCCAGTCATCTTTTATTTCAAACGAGTACATTTTATTACATTCACATCCCTGCTGCTCTGCTCATCGATGACACAACTTCACACCAGCCCTGGCGCCACTTGCCAATTTGTGTGTGTGGTGAACTGGGATGCATTAAAGACTGGGTGCATAAAGCAGGTGCCACATGGCATCAGACATCATAAGCAAGACACAGGGTTTGTATGTGTTCTCAGCTGTTGGGAAGGAGACAACGGTGGGGGTACCCCCACCCCACACACACACACACACACACACTAATCCAGTCTGATCTAAGAGCAGGCATGAAGGGGATACACAAGCGACACAATCACATGGCACGTGTTGTCATGTACGCCTCCATCTGGTGTCCACTCAGTGTAAGGCTCGTGGCTCCCTGTCATCTGTCCCCCACCGTATCCCACCGTCAGCCTGTCTGACACACTCCTCCGGCTTTATGTTGAGGATAATGACTGATCCAAGTCCATTGTGTATTTTCATGTCCACAGATTTATTAAAAACTGTTCAGTGGAACTCTGTCTTGGTATTTGAGTTTTCTGGTATTTTAGGAGGCGACATTACAAACTCTTCCAGACTCTGAGATATTTTTTCAACTTGATTCTTTGGGCTTCCTGACAGTCTTTTCTTCATCCTGCATTACACTCCTCCCTGACTAAAGCACCCATCTCTTTTTTTTTTTTTTTTAAAGTTATGACAAGAATGTGAATCTTTCCATTTGGTAACGAGAGAGAATGTTCCTGTGTTTGAACATTTTCTGAATATGGTTTTTGATTTCCTTGTTTCTCTGACCTGGCTGTCTGTCTTCACACCTCCTGGCGAGGCCTCCACCCATGCTTGACCCTGCTAGACTAAAGTAACGTGCAGAGAAGAACAAGTTTGCAATGTTGAAACAGACAGCTGATTAATTTGTGTTCCTGAAGCTGTAAGTTGAGGTCAGTGAGTCAGTCCCATCAGAGAAATCAGTCCTCCAGACCTACCACTTATTGTGGAGCTTCGATGTCTGAGGAATGCTTTTTTCTCACGTTATTTTCATCTGCCCATTACTGTTAAAGTGGCCGTGCAGCATTTCAATAAATGACTGAAATAAATGCCAAAGCTTTGAAAATGCAGTAGTTAAAGGCCAAACATTCTTTGAAGGAATTGCCCACCATATTTCATGCTTGCTGCCTGCCACCTCTACATAGTGTGAGATGTTAATGTTTGAATTAAGTGTTGAAGACAACTCTCAGCTACCACCACATAAATATTGCTTCATAATGTAATTTTGTGTAAGTTTTAACCATTTCCTTGTTGGTAAATTAGCTGTCAGTCATCTAGAATGGGTTGACTCCAAATGTCTTGTAGATGTACATCCAACAAGTACTGTTTTGAAAATTCAATAAAAAGAGTTTAATGCTTCATGAGATGACTTGCTCAAATACAGTGTTGACCAACAGTGAATGTCATTAAAGCAAAATGAACGGTAATCACCATTAACCTGATGTTCACCAAAAACACCAATGTCTCATTGATCCTGGAGTCAGTCTTGTTTTATCTGAAAGTGGTCTGTCACTCTGACTTTGGGCGGCTGTGGCTGAGTGGTTAGAGCAGTCGTCCTCCAATGCAAGAGTTGGGGGTTCGAATCCACCAGCAGTCACATGCCGAAGTGTCCCTGGGCAAGACATTGAACCCCTCATTGACTCCGATGTGTGTCACATCAGTTTATGAATGTGATAAAGCTCTGATTAGTCTCTTTACTAGATCTCTACAAAGCTAATTAAACAAATCATTCTAGAGTGCTGTATGAATGGGTAAATGAGGACACAGATTGTAGCGTAAAGAGCTTTGAGTATCTCAATAAGATAGAAAGCGCTATATAAGTACAGTCCATTTGTCATTTACTCTGGGTGTCTGAGCTGCTCGGAGGACAAAGTTCTGAGAGGAAGGGGAGAGAGGACTCTGGTTTGTGCAGCTCAGAGTGGAGCTTTTTAATCTCCGCAGGAGTGTCAGATGGCGTTGACAGAGCACAGGCACCAATTAGACTGGAAGATTAGTGGGGGGGCTTTGTACTTCGGAAAAGCTTCTATACAGGCTTTTTTTTCTTCCTTCCTGCCTGTGTGTTATGTCTTCATTTGAAAATGCCTCACCCAAATGACTCCTGGCTTTACCTTCATTCCTTCACTGTTTGGTTGTCCTCCAGACCTCCTGCCTGAGATCACACGGGACGATGTGAAGCTGCATGTCCCTGAGCTGAGCAGACCAACAAGGAGAGAAGCTGGATGTTGACATCTTGCCTTCCTGCAGGCATGCATACAAAGCCAACTGCACAGTATTCAACTTCTATCTGCACTAATTAAAAGCAGAGAGTTGACAGGAAATGTTTGTGTTTGTTGTGCACAGACAGATGATTTGGCTCTTTGCTTGTTCTCCTTTGGCTGCAACATTTTTCTAAAACAGGCAGATATTCATAGTAGGTCTGGTGTCTCTTTAGCTGTTTACATTTGTGCTAGAGTCTCCATGTTACACTCTGATCTCTGCTGTACCACACACACACACACACACACACACACACACACACACACACACACAC